CGTACTATGATTATACATGTATGTATACGTCTATTTTTTTATAGAGTGCTCTGGAGTGTTACAAGAAAGCTTCCGCCAGTTCTCAAAAGGATGATGATTTGGTTTCAGCGGAAAAGAACACCGGAACTGTATTTTGGAAGCTAGCTAAACTGAAGATGAATGGATGTTCTGATGAGCGAAAGGTTTGTAGATGTGTCATATAATTGTTTAGGTTCAGTCCCCGATCATCCTACACTGACATAATGCTTGACTGTATTCCTTGACCAAATACTCTACAAACCCTACTCCACTAGGGTATCACTAAGACCAAAGTAACATTTACATATGGCCTGACCCATATTTCATTCATCAGCCCAAACTTGATACAAGGAGATTTTTGACAGCACTTTTAAAAAGCCATGTTGGTCAGTCATCCGTGGCAGAAAAATATGAAAATGGGTTTCACTAGACACTAGTTCTTGCTATGAACTAGATTTCAAAGTCACAATTATTATGACTTTTTAATCATAACCTACCAAAGTTGGGTGTAATTGTTTTTGCACTTTACTAGAACCCATTATTATTATTAATAAATAAAACTACAGTTGTTTGGCATGTTTTTAATATACGCAATGCATACCTATTTTACAAAACAGGTGATACATGCGTACTTTAAAGCAGCTCTGCAGCACTTCGGTACCGCTTACACTAAAAGGAACTGCATGGTCGAAGAATGGGGCAAACATCTGGAGAGATCTATCAAGGAATGTCTAGATGACATCAGAACCTGGATCGCACCAAGAAATGACGGAGGTACTCGTGTTTAATAAAAGTCTTGTCCCACCTAGTCGATAAACATATTTGTCAAGATTAGAATGATGATAGTCATAATTATGAGGACTAATGATAACAATAATAATAATAATGATAATAATCATAATAATACTAGTAATAATAATAATTTGGTCTTATTTAGTCAAATCAGTATTAACACAGCTTTTCCCTAGCAATTGCATGGTACCCATTTCTACCCTGATGGAGAGTGGCAAATAAGGATTAACTTCTCGACAATTGACGTTAGTGCTACAGCGGGACTCGAACCGCGAACCATGTGACCCACAGTGTGTGTCGGGCTGGAAATTGGCCAATGAACCCTTAGATTGAGAGTCAAGAGCTAATCACTTTACCACGACAAATGCATATGGGTATGACCAGGTCCTTAGAAATCTGGGGGAGGGGGGGGGGGGGGCAGTGACATGGACTCCAACAACAATTGACTTTATAAGTAGGCATTCCAACGCACTGTAGATTAAAACCAAGTAATTTTCATAGTACTGCGTAACTATAGTTTATACAAAAATGACAGCCTGTTAATAAGATGTACGTAGTTGTGTACTTAGGGTAACATTCTAAAAAGGGGCAAGGGCCGCTTGTGCCCATCTTAACCCGCTAGTGGTGCCGAGAGCCAATTGTTGTATACGTTCCTTAAAAAAAAAAACCCACAAAGAACAAACCACTGACATTGTGTTAAATAAATCATGATTTTAAAGCCAATATTAAAAAGGTATGACTAAAAAAGACCAAATTGATGGTTGGTAATATCTCAATTTTTTTTAACCACACTATGTTTTCTCAAGTTAACACTTATTATCAACAGGGAACTCTCAGTAACAGACGGCTTACGAGACGAACGGACGTCTAGAGCGACTATCGGTCTTATGCACCTTCAGAAAAGTTGTTAGAAAGCCCGCGAGGCCGACAAGTCAGTCTTATGGCTGTGGGTTTCATAAACATTCAGATAACCTTTCGAAAGGCTTGTGAGACCAAGACCAACATTGCCGGTCTCGTGGGTTGTAGTCTTTATCGACTCCTACATGTCTTTATTTATATGTTTTCGACTCCGCCAGATCAGATCGTTGCCCTCAAGGAGTACGTATGTTACATGCCTGAATGTGACGCTAAGGTCAGCTGCTATATTCGCACCGCAAATATGTATTTCAGAAAAGGAAAAGATGCTCTGCAGCACGAGGAATACAAGATCTGCCAAGGGTATGTTATATGTGTTAACATTATCAACAAGATTTATATTTAGTTTCCTCCAAAGATTTCCTAAACATACACAAAAATATCTCAGGGCTACACAGTGGTGGATCAAGCGGGAGGTGGGGGGGGGGGGGGGGGTCCCATCCCCTGGAAACATAAATGCAAGCCCACGTGATGTCAATTGACCAATCGGATTGCTAAGATTCTGGAACCCGCCTTATAATGTAACTTGTAATTGATAAACGTTTTATAGACGACACACAATATTGCTTCTGGAATTGCTTCAGGTTAACTGTCTGAAAGTCTCTCTAGACTTCCAGCGTAAGCAAAGTATTGCTTTGCACTCATTTAGTGTATGTTGATATTGTATCTCTAGATACCTGGATGATTGTAGTACAACCCTGCATGAAGCAAAGAAAAGATGTACAAGTGCAGATTCAAACTTCAAAGTAAACATCATTGACCTGGAGGAAGACGTCCAGCGCCAAACAGATGTCGTCCAGAAATGTTTATCAAAAGCCAAAGGTAATACGTTAACTCACTATCTTCTACCTCTTCATTAATCAGTATTACCATTTCGTTGAAAAAAATATAGATAGTTGGGGCCCAATAATAACGATAATCAAAAACAAAAGTCATAGCAGGGACAGGAAGGGTCACCTACCCCAATCGAATGACGAAAAATGAGGGGGAAGAGAGAAAGAGAGAGAGAGAGAGGGGGGGGGGTAGAAAACGTGAGAAAGAAGGGGAGAAAACGTGAGAAAGAAGGGGAGAAAACGTGAGAAAGAGAGAGATAAATAGAGAGAGAGAGAGAGAGAGAGAGAAACAACCCCAAAATTAAAGGAAGAGGGAGACTCAAAATATGTTGTTTGTATAATCTTTCTGAGTATCGCACTATTTTCTGTTTGTCTAGGTGCCGGTCAGAAAACAACCCATGACACATCCAGAATGTCAAGAGAAAAGGGTAACACCTTTTACAAGTCATTGCCAAACTAGATTGCTTCAAGGTAGCGTACTAATGCTACTAAATTTACTCCGATTAAGGTATACTTCTAGTATGTTCATGTTGTTCCTGAGGTCGAATACTTCTAGAAACTTTTGAAAAACCTTTTGTTGCAATTTTGTTGGGGTCAAACCATATATCGACCCGACTAACTGGCATTGTTCGTTTCTTTACGGGAATGGCTAAAATCACGACTCCAATTTCGACCAATCAGATGGCTAGAAATTTTCCAACATCGGTAAGTTGTGAAGATTACCTCCCTATCTCTCTCTCTCTCCATCTTTGGTGAGTTTTGTACAGTTGTGTTTAAAATGTTGAGAATCAATCGAGGTCGTCATTTTGCTACACAATGCTGCTATGTGTGGCACTGGCCCTGCAATCCTCTTATAATTACGCCTATACAAACTTAAAACTTGGATCAATTTCTCGCCTCTCTCACTCCCCCCCCCCCCCACTCCGTGAACCGAGGGATACCATGCGTGTTCCCAAAATGTCCGGTAAAGCTAGGGGTACTTTTCACACACCAAAGTCGGGCTCGTAGCCGTACACAAAAATCCGACCCGTATTGACTTTACACACCGGACTTAGGGGGGTGTTTTCAAAAGGAGGGAACATGCATATGCGTACCCTATATTACACTGAGTGGGGGGGGGGGGGGGTGGGGGAGGGGTGGGTCTCACTCACACAAAAAGCTGCCTAAACCGTTCAAAAACAACACGTCTGCCGTTCAAAAAGTTCAGTTCAAAATACCTCGTACAGGATGCGTTTAAAAATTATGCACACAAATTTGTATTGTCTGCTGGTAAATCGCAAATAGAAAGCTATGAACATGCAATTCAATACAAAAAAAACACAATTACGCTGCTTTCATAACAATTTTCGTAGGTAATTATTAGCAGAATAGAAGACCATAAATGTATAAAGTTCAATTATTAATGTGCGAACCTACACCTAACAAGCTTTCAAGTAGGTTCGTTTTTTTCATTTCCTGTAACCAAATCATTTTGCATGACAATGATCAAAAACAATGTCAAAGATATTTCAATGCTCACTTCCGTTATATCATTACGTTCATTATTTTTTGTCATTGTTTATATTATGTGAAAAGAAATGAAAAATAAATTCGCTCTGTATAGAATACTTAGTCCACGTCCTGGACGATTTTTATTGATGCGCAAGCCCTAGCTCACATGACCAACAGATGGCGCATTCATCTTACCGCGCTCATTCACTTACTCAAGTGATTCACTTACCCCGAAAAATCTGTATGTGTGTATGTTTGTGTGCTATGGGGTGTGCACTATGCGGTGGTCACATCCCGCCGTACTTGCAAGTGCGTGCTGTCTACGTGCAAAAACGTGGGCAAAATTTGGGTATCGGTACGTGGTGAGTACCGCCTCCGTACGGATTTGGGAGCACGCAGACACACCGTAGCACTTTTAGTGCACGAGGAACTTTCGCTGCGTTCGGGCTACCGATTCACCCCCAGTGCGCGTGACGTGCGTGCCCGGTACTGCCAACGAGCGCACAACGCACTGACTCCGTGCGTTTTTAAATTTGTTTCCCACGATCACTTGCTCTACGGAAGGCGCACTTAGCACGTGCGTGCTGCGCACGTGATAAGCGCGTGGTCCGTGCTTACTCGCCACTTCCCCGGTTCAACTTTCTGATGAGCACGCAGAACTCACGTGGACCGTACCGAGTAAGCACGTGCTCCGCACTTACAACGCACGTTGTGCGCACTGATTTATGCAGTATACAAAAGCCGAGCAGACGGAAGAGTGCCAACATTTCGTCTCCAAGATGGCGCCGAAGAAGACACAGAATAAGGGGTCAGCTGCATCTGCAGCTCAAAAGGCAGCGGATAAGAAGGCCAGAGAGGCCCAACAGAAACGGGCCGCGGAAGATGAGAGGCCAGAGAGGAAGAGTGGAGGAGGAGCGAAAAAGAGTCAGATGGTGACGCCAAAGCGTCTGATCATGAGGAGGGTGCTGCTGGTGGATCGAAGAAGGGGTCACATGAAAAGGTTGAGTTCTTCTCGGTCAATCCGGTCTTCTTCGATAAGTTTCCCAGGGTTTTCCCTTCCCTTGAGGCCCGTTGGCCGACCATCTGGTTGGGTTCGGTCATCTGCACATCCTCCCTCCAGGCCCCGGGGACCACGTTGCCATCCTCATCCTCGTGGTCCAAATTAAGGTCCTGTAGTCCGGGCTGGCGCTTTCGCAGCCAATTGTGAAGGGTGAGGCAGCCCAACACATCGCGAATCACCCTGTCAGGCTCCAACAGCAGGGTGGTGAGTAGGCACCGCCACCGGTGAGCCAATATCCCGAAGCCGTTCTCCACAACCCGACGGGCCCGAGAGGTCCGATAGTTCATCACGCTCTCTTTGTGGGTCATGGCACGGCGACTGTATGGCTTCAAGAGCCACTTTCGCAGGGGAAAAGCATCATCGCCTATGATGAAGTAGGGAAAGTTCCGGTTGTCGCCTGGAAGTGGATCCGGTGCTGGGAATCCAATGTTGTCCTCCAGTGCTCCCCGGAGGGTGGACTCGTTGAACACGCGTGCGTCTGAGGATGAGCCGTTTGCCCCCACCTTGCACCACAAGAAGGAATAGTTAGCATCCACGATGGCCAGGAGCACCACAGAACAGAAGCGCTTATAATTGTAATAGAGCGATCCACTTTTATTGGGCTTCTTGATGGCGATATGTTTCCCATCGATCGCCCCATAACAGTGGTGAAAGTTCCATCGCGTTCCAAACTGGCTGGCGACGGCTTTCCATGCACTCGTCCTGTGTGGAGGGCATGTTGAACATCTCCTCCTTATATACCTCGTAGATGGCGGTGCAGACCTCCGGCACGAACGTGGATATGCTGTTGTGTGCCCATTCGTTGGGTCCATTCGGATGTATCCGACATATAGTCCCCCCGCGATTCACGCTCTAGCTCTTGGAACACATTTCGTACTGCCCGAAAAGCCTCCTCCTCTCGATCCATGGGCGAACCCACCATCTCCTGCGTCGGCATCTCTGTTGCCTCTCTCTCTCCCGTATCAAGGCAAGTAATACCATGTCGTGCTCATGCGCTGCCACTTGAAGGTGTTCTTGCAGCATCAGAACCCGGAGTCTCTGCGGTGGAATGGGCGGCATCTTGAGGAGGCAGCAGCAGCTGGCACTTCTAGAGAAAATGGGAATGTCGTCCTATATACTTCGACATACCCCGACTCACCAAGTTCTTCGTACGTGCACGCACTTACAACGTGCGAGTGAGTAAGGACACCGTACGTGAGCAGCACGTGTAAGTACGGCCTCCGTAAGATAACGTGGCAACCGCACGGAGACCGTACGTTGTAAGCACGTAGTAAGCACGTTGTAAGCACGTACAACGCACTTACCACGTGCGCAACGTACGATGCACGCAACCGCTCTAGGCCAGGCGTGGCGTGCGGGCCACGTACTTACACCGTGCGTGTGACGTGCTTTGCCGGTACTCCCTCCCTGCCTTTGCCACTCTCTCCCTACGTTTTCAGAAAACGTGGCGGCCGTGGCCTCCCCAAAAACCGTACGGACTAAAAACACGCACGGTGGGATGTGACCAACGCTTATGCGGTGGTCACATCCCGCCGTACTTGCAAGTGCGTGCTGTCTACGTGCAAAAACGTGGGCAAAATTTGGGTATCCGTACGTGTTGAGTACCGCCTCCGTACGGATTTGGCAGCACGCAGACACACCGTAGCACTTTTAGTGCACGAGGAACTTTCGCTGCGTTCGGGCTGCGTTCGAGCTACCGATTCACCCCAGTGCGTGTGACGTGCGTGTCCGGTACTGCCAACGAGCGCACAACGCACTGACTCCGTGCGTCTTTTAAAGGCGCACGTGGTAAGTGCGTGGTCCGTGCTTACTCGCCACTTCCCCAGTTCAGCTATCAAATGAGCACGCAGAACTCACGTGGACCGTACCGAGTAAGCACTTACAACGCACGTTGTTCGCACTGATGTATGCAGTATATAGTCTCTTCGGTGGAATGGGCGGCATCTTGAGGCAGCAACAGCTGGGACTTCTGGAGAACATCGGAATGTCGTCCTATATAAACACCGAGTTCATCGCACGTGCACACACTTACAACATGCGAGTGAGCAAGGACACCGTGCGTGAGCAGCACTTGTAAGTACGGCCTCCGTACGATCACGTGGCAACCGCACGGAGACCGTACGTTGTAAGCACGTTGTAAGCACGTACAACGCACTTACCACGTGCGCAACGTACGATGCACGCAACCGTTCACGGCCAGGCGTGGCGTGCGGGCCACGTACTTACACAGTGCGTGTGACGCGCGTTGCCGGTACTCCCTCCCTGCCTTTGCCACTCCCTCCCTACGTTTTCAGAAAAACGTGGCGGCCGTGGCCTCCCCAAAAACCGTACGGACTAAAAACACGCACGGTGGGATGTGACCAACGCTTTAACCAGAACAGTCCAGGGGATGGACTTCTACTTACTATGATTATACATGTATGTATACATCTATTTTTTTTTTATAGAGTGCTCTGGAGTGTTACAAGAAAGCTTCCGCCAGTTCTCAAACGTATGGTGAATATGTTTCAGCGGAAAAGAACAGTGGAACTGTTTCTTGGAAGCTAGCTAAACTGAAGATGAATGCATGTTCTGATGAGCGAAAGGTTTGTAGATGTGTCATATAATTGTTTAGGTTCAGTCCCCGATCATCCTACACTGACATAATGCTTGACTGTATTCCTTGACCAAATACTCTACAAACCCTACTCTACTAGGGTATCACTAAGACCAAAGTAACATTTACATATGGCCTGACCCATATTTCATTCATCAGCCCAAACTTGATACAAGGAGATTTTTGACAGCACTTTTAAAAAGCCATGTTGGTCAGTCAGAAAAATGTGGCTGAAAAATATGAAAATGGGTTTCACTAGACACTAGTTCTTAATGCTATGAACTAGATTTCAAAGTCACAATTATTATGACTTTTTAATCATAACCTACCAAAGTTGGGTGTAATTGTTTTTGCACTTTACTAGAACCCATTATTATTATTAATAAATAAAACTACAGTTGTTTGGCATGTTTTTAATATACGCAATGCATACCTACAGGTGATACATGCGCACTTTAAAGAGGCTCTGCAGTACTTCGGCACCGCTTACACGAAAAGGAACTACATGGTCGAAGAATGGGGCAAACATCTTGAGAGATCTATCAAGGAATGTCTAGATGACATCAGAACATGGATTGCACCAAGAAATGACGAAGGTACTCGTGTTTATTAAAAGTCTTGTCCCACCTAGTCGATAAACATATTTGTCAAGATTAGAATGATGATAGTCATAATTATGAGGATTAATGATAACAATCATAATTATAATGATAATAATCATATATAATAGTAATAATAAAAATTTGGTCTTATTTAGTCAAATCAGTATCAACACAGCTTTTCCTTAGGGCCCTGCGATTAATCTGACCCTAGCAATTGCATGGTACCCATTTCTACCCTAGTGGAGAGTGGCAAATAAGGATTAACTTCTCGACAATTGACGTTAGTGCTACAGCGGGACTCGAACCGCGAACCATGTGACCCACAGTGTGTGTCGGGCTGGAAATTGGCCAATGAACCCCTAGATTGAGAGTCAAGAGCTAATTACTTTACCACGACAAATGCATATGGGTATGACCAGGTCCTTAGAAATGTGGGGGAGGGGAGGGGTGCAGTGATAGGGACTCTAACCAAAATTAGAACAAATTACATATGGATGGAAAGATATTCTCTTGAAAAACACGAATAATTTGCTGAAAATCATATAGATATCATGAAAAGGCGTAAAATGCAATTTTTCAAGACCCTTCTTAGACCCCCAAGCGCCTCCGAACGTAAGCCAAACACACGAGCGTAGCGAGCTCTGAATAATGACGTCACACCCTGGACAAACAGCTCGGTACCGGCCGGCGTTATTTTTTTATGCGGCACAGATTGGGGCTTTTTTTTAAAAGGGGTCTTGATTTACAGACTAATACTGGTCGTGTGCGTACTAGACAGGATAAGTAGTAGAGGTCTGTTTTTAATAGTGTTACATCTAATCCACTACCGCATGGAAAATCATTACATCAACAATTAAAATCAAATTGGAAATCTGAAGAGGAGGCAGCATGTCAATAAGGAGAACATCACAATAATTAGTCAATAAAACTTAACTAACTTAAACGAAGAGGAATGTTATCTAAACACATAGTTCGCGATGGATATACAAACTTCTTCGCAGCGCTAATGCGCTAACGAACATGACTAGTCTCACGTACGTGCAGACACTATTCAGAAGGGAAAGAACGTACTTCCCATAGGTTTAACACGCGCCATGCCCCAATCTGTGCCGCATAAAAAAATAACGCTACCGGCCGCATACCGGAGTCGCGCGTGTATTAGTCTGCAGCTAGACAGCCGTGTCCAGGGTGTGACGTCACAATAGTGACGTCATACGAAGGACTGCTGAAGGCAGTAAATCTGGATCTCAAAACTAACATTTTTGAAAGTTGATTTCTGCGGGCCCCAAACATATTTTGAAGAGGAAATTTGTTGTATTTGATCAGTAAGGCTTCCCCTTCGCAATGATATGAATATTGCATCAATTCAAGTGGGTCTCGTGGGTCGTACCTTTGTCGACTCCTACATGTCTTTGTTCATTTGCTTTCGACTCCTCCAGATCAGATCGTTGCCCTCAAGGAGTACGTAGGTTACATGCCTGAATGTGACGCTAAGGTCAGCTGCTATATTCGCATCGCAAATATGTATTTCAGAAAAGGAAAAGATGCTCTGCAGCACGAGGAATACAAGAGCTGCCAAGGGTATGTTATATGTGTTAACATTATCAACAAGATTTATACTTAGTTTCCTCCAAAGATTTCCTATACATACACAAAAATATCTCAGGGCTACACAGCGGTGGATCAAGCGGTAGGGGGGGGGGGGCGGGTCCCATCCCCTTGAAACATAAATGCAAGCCCACGTGATGTCAATTGACCAAACGGATTGCTTAGATTCTGGAACCCGCCTTATAATGTAACTTGTAATTGATAAACGTTTTATAGACGACACACAATATTGCTTCTGGAATTACTTCAGGTTAACTTTTTGAAAGTCTCTCTAGACTTCTAGTGTAAGCAAAGTATTGCTTTGCACTCATTTAGTGTTTGTTGATATTGTATCTCTAGATACCTGGATGATTGTAGTACAACCCTGCATGAAGCAAAGAAAAGATGTACAGGTGCAGATTCAAACTTCAAAGTAAACATCACTGACCTGGAGGAAGACGTCCAGCGCCAAACAGATGTCGTCCAGAAATGTTTATCAAAAGCCAAAGGTAATACGTTAGCTCACTATCTTCTACCTCTTCATTAATCAGTATTACCATTTCGTTAAAAAAAAATCTAGATAGTTGGGGCCCAATAATAACGATAATCAAAAACAAAAGTCATAGCAGGGACAGGAAGGGTCAACTACCCCAATCGAATGACGAAAAATGAGGGGGAAGAGAGAGAGAGAGAGAGAGAGAGAGAGGGGAGGGGGGGGGGGAGAAAACGTGAGAAAGAAAGAGAGAAAGAGAAAGAGAGAGATAAATAGAGAGAGAGAGAGAGAGAGAAACAACCCCAAAATGAAAGGGAGAGGGAGACTCAAAATATGTGAAAGTAAATGTGATAGATCCCCCTCCGTGAAACTCTCCTTTCGCTCACTAAGTTCGGTGCCCCCTAAGATGACCCCTACCCATGAAATGGCAGAATCTACGTACGCTACGCCACTGGCTGGAACACTCAAGAAAATGAAAGATCAAAAGAAACTGAGGGGGAATAAAATATTCAATGGAAGGGGGGGGGGGGGTCA